AACATAGAACAAAAGGTAAAAAGCAGGGGGAACCAGACCATATGTGACACCAATATCCTAATCATATATATATATATATATATATATATATATATATATATATATATATATATATATATATATATATATATTGATATAAATAGGGTGCAATTGGCAAATGCATGTTGTTTGATTTTTGATAATTTTGACTCCATATTTTAGTAGAGGGTCAGTTGGGCAACATCTGTGAGAACTATAATTCAATTCATTTCACCAGAAATTTGAAAATGGCATACTGTATGCCCAACATTCACACCAGAAGCTCCTATATGAACATTTCAGGGTGTTTTCATATCAATTTGAGGACAGTGCAGAAGATTCGGAAAGAGCTGGAAGAGTTGGTTAGTACTAAGATATGGCATCTCGGAAAACTCACTCTGATCATGCTAAGAAGAAAATAACTCATGAGTTTGTTGGTGAGTGCCTCAGACTCAACAAGGAGGACTACATTGATTGCCTTGGGGAGGTAATGGTGCCCTAAGTCAAGAAGGTGGCTGCTGGAAGAGCCTATGTCTGACAACACTACTCAACTTACTAACCATTACACCATCTCAAAGTTCTCTTAAGTGTGGCTTATACGTGGCACAAGACTGACCATGTGGAGTACCCAGTGAGGACCAAACTCACTACACAGTCATGATTGATCTAGTGAGGCAATCTTATTAACCATTACATCAATCTGAAGTGCATAATGAGTTTTTAGGCATAACCTAGATGTGGCATAAGGCTGAAAGTATGAGGCAACCAGTGAGAATCAAGCACATTATTCAGTTGTAATTGAACTAGTGAGACAAACATGCTAACCATTACACCATGTCAAAGTGCTTAGATTGTATGGTATGTGTATGAAGAGAATTTCTTTTCTTGAAAAATAAAACTCTATTTCCTTGTAAGCTTGTAGAATTGGTCAGTTTTTGTCTTTTTTTGGTTGACCTTTTGGAATGATACAGTTGTCAGCAGCTTGCACCTGGTCAGGTTTTCAATTTTTAAGTAACATAGTACCTTTTATTGTTATACAACAGTTATAGCTATGTTTTTCGTCCAATTTTTGGTTAGGTTTTTATAGTCTAACTAATATTTTGGTCATAATGGTTTTTTAATTTGTTTATTATTTACTTTATTATTTGGGTTCATCGATTTTGTTTTTTGTTTTTGTTACTTAAAAATCGGAAACCGAAAAGTGTAAATAAAAAATATTACAGTATAATAAATAGATAATAAAAAAAACAAGTAAAATAAATTAATCTAAATTCATCCAAATAAATAAATAAACTAACAAACCGATCCCGATAAATTAACTGTTAGAAAAAAACAAATAAAGATAATCAATCCAAATAAATACATGAAGTCATAAACAAATTAAAATCTGTTCCTGCCAAAATAATAGTTAGAATAACTACAACAATCAACCCCAAAATTGAATAAATAGCTTTAATTACCTTACCAAATCAAAACAAAACTATTAAATAAGTGATATAAACAAATTTTTACTACATTAATAAAAACACCAATTAAAATAAAAATAATAAAAAAATAAATATATAAGATAAGAAATAAAAAAAAATGAAAATAAAAGATAAAAGTAAATAATGACAAGCAAAATAATCTAACCCAAATAACAACATTTACTGACCTGAAAGTCCAAGAAATTCTCACAGAAAATATACATACCCCGACAGGAATCAAACCTGTATCCTATACAGAACTGTCATATAGCCTGATACGCCTTAACCGATTGGGCCAGATTTCTTGGACATTCACGCTGGTAAATGTTGTTAATACTGTTTATTATAAACAGAGCATTTACTTAAATATTTGTATCTATAAAAAGAACGTATAAACATAAAAAATGTCTTAAAAATAATTATCGGACTTTGTCCATTTCATAATGTACAATGATATATGCTTACAAAAAACACGTTCAGATTTCTTGCTTCCTTGTAAACTAAAATCTTCAAAAATTTAAATGCAATGTCACTCGCCATCTTTTGTCTTCCTGAAACCTGTTCCTTTATCATCTTTTCCTCATTTCTCCTCACGAAAATCTTAACATTCTCTTTCACTTCCTGGAAACCCCTGTGTCCTGGTGTCATTATCGCTTTGCTTGGGGTGAAATGATTAAAAAAACTGCCTTAGAAGTAGATACCATTTCTAGATCCATAATGTTCTCTTGTCCACTGAAAGAAGTACAATACCGGTGGTAAAATTATTGTATGATTGAATAAATATAGGAAGTTTGAAGAGTCTTCAAATATGTCATGCCACCTGATTAGGAATGGTGAGGCATCAAGGAAAATTGCAGGCACAAAAGGATAAGTGAAATGACCAAAATAAAGAGACATCTTATATAAAAGATTATAAAGAGTAAAAAAACGATTCTTTCATTTTTCTCTTTGATAATTGTTAAATATTTATAGTTTCTGCACAATGTTGCTCTGCCTGAAAAGATTGTGAAGAGATTTCATATTGGTGAAAAGGAAGCAGGAAGCAGACAAAGAACATGAAAGATGAGAAGAATACTTGAGTGTGTGGACAGCTGTGAATAAAAAGGAGGTGGAAAAAGATAAAAAAAAAAAAAAGCAGCGAAAAATGTTAAAAAAAGATATGGGATATGAGAAATAACGGGGGAGCTAGAAAGATGAAAGAAGAAATATGAGGAGGGGAAATTCAGAGGAGGGAAGATATAGAGAAAGAAAAAAGACAAAAAGGGAACGGAAAGAGATACAGAGAAGGAAAAGGGGAAAAGAAAATGGAAAGAGATATGGGAAAGGAAGATGAGAAACATGTAATGGAAATAGATACAGTAAAGGAAAAAGGGAAAAAGGTAAGGGAAAGAGATATAGAGAAAGAAAAAAGGGGAAAAGGTAATGGAAAAAGAGACAGAGAAGCAAAAAAGTGAAAAGGTAATGGAAAGAGATATATGGAAGGAAACAGGGAAAAGGTAATGAAAAGAGATATAGAGAATGAAAAAGGGGAAAAGCTAATGGAAAGAGATATAGAGAAGGAAAAAGGGAAAAAGGTAATGGAAAGAGATATAGAGAATGAAAAAGGGGAAAAGCTAATGGAAAGAGATATAGAGAAGGAAAAAGGGAAAAAGGTAATGGAAAGAGATATAGAGAATGAAAAAGGGGAAAAGCTAATGGAAAGAGATATAGAGAAGGAAAATGGAGAAAAAGGTCACGGAAAAAGATATGGAGAAAGAAAAAAAGAAAAAGGCAATGGAAAGAGAGATAGAGAAGGAAAAATGGAAAAAGGTAATGGAAAGAGATATAGAGAAGAAAAAAAGGGAAAAGGCAATGGAAAGAGAGATAGAGAAGAAAAAAAGGGAAAAGGCAATGGAAAGAGAGATAGAGAATGAAAAAGGGGAAAAGCTAATGGAAAGAGATATAGAGAAGGAAAAAGGGAAAAAGGTAATGGAAAGAGATATAGAGAATGAAAAAGGGGAAAAGCTAATGGAAAGAGATATAGAGAAGGAAAAAGGGAAAAAGGTAATGGAAAGAGATATAGAGAATGAAAAAAGGGGAAAAGCTAATGGAAAGAGATATAGAGGAGGAAAAAAAGGAAAAAAAGGTAATGGAAAGAGATATAGAGAATGAAAAAGGGGAAAAGGTAATGGAAAGAGATATAGAGAAGGAAAAAGGGAAAAAGGTAATGGAAAGAGATATAGAGAATGAAAAAGGGGAAAAGGTAATGGAAAGAGAGATAGAGAAGGAAAAATGGAAAAAGGTAATGGAAAGAGATATAGAGAATGAAAAAGGGGAAAAGCTAATGGAAAGAGATATAGAGAAGGAAAAAGGGAAAAAGGTAATGGAAAGAGATATAGAGAATGAAAAAGGGGAAAAGCTAATGGAAAGAGATATAGAGAAGGAAAATGGGAAAAAGGTAATGGAAAGAGATATAGAGAATGAAAAAGGGGAAAAGCTAATGGAAAGAGATATAGAGAATGAAAAAGGGGAAAAGCTAATGGAAAGAGATATAGAGAATGAAAAAGGGGAAAAGCTAATGGAAAGAGATATAGAGAAAGAAAATGGAGAAAAAGGTCATGGAAAAAGATATGGAGAAAGAAAAAAAGGAAAAGGCAATGGAAAGAGAGATAGAGAAGGAAAAATGGAAAAAGGTAATGGAAAGAGATATAGAGAATGAAAAAGGGGAAAAGCTAATGGAAAGAGATATAGAGAAGGAAAAAGGGAAAAAGGTAATGGAAAGAGATATAGAGAATGAAAAAGGGGAAAAGCTAATGGAAAGAGATATAGAGAAGGAAAAAGGGAAAAAGGTAATGGAAAGAGATATAGAGAATGAAAAAGGGGAAAGGTTAATGGAAAGAATAATAGAGAAGGAAAAAAAAGGAAAAGGTAATGGAAAAAGAGACAAGGAAGGAAAAAAGGGAAAAGCTAATGGAAAGAGATATAGAGAAGGAAAAATGGGAAAAGGTAATGGAAAAAATAATAGAGAAGGGAAAAAGTGAAAAGGTAATGGAAAAAGAGACAAGGAAGGAAAAAAGTGAAAAGGTAATGGAAAAAGAGATAGAGAAGGACAAATGGAAAAAGAGATAGAGAAGGAAAAATGGAAAATTAAAAATGGAAAATGGAAAGAGTGATATAGACGGAAAAAAGGGAAACGGTAATGGAAAAAGAGATAGCGAAGGAAAAAGGGGAAAAGTTAATGGAAAGAATAATAGAGAAGGAAAAAAGAGAAAATGTAATGGAAAGAGAGATAGAGAAGGAAAAATGGAAAAGATAATGGAAAAGAGACAGAGAAAAAAAAAAAGGAAAAGGTAATGGAAAGAGTGATATAGACGGAAAAAAGGGAAACGGTAATGGAAAAAGAGATAGCGAAGGAAAAAGGGGAAAAGTTAATGGAAAGAATAATAGAGAAGGAAAAAAGAGAAAATGTAATGGAAAGAGAGATAGAGAAGGAAAAATGGAAAAAGATAATGGAAAAAGAGACAGAGAAGAAAAAAGGGAAAAGGTAATGGAAAGAGTGATATAGACGGAAAAAAGGGAAACGGTAATGGAAAAAGAGATAGCGAAGGAAAAAGGGGAAAAGTTAATGGAAAGAATAATAGAGAAGGAAAAAAGGGAAAATGTAATGGAAAGAGAGATAGAGAAGGAAAAATGGAAAAAGGTAATGGAAAAAGAGACAGAGAAGAAAAAAGGGAAAAGGTAATGGAAAGAGTGATATAGACGGAAAAAAGGGAAACGGTAATGGAAAAAGAGATAGCGAAGGAAAAAGGGGAAGAGTTAATGGAAAGAATAATAGAGAAGGAAAAAAGGGAAAAGGTAATGGAAAGAGAGATAGAGAAGGAAAAATCGAAAAAAGTAATGGAAAAAGAGACAGAGAAGAAAAAATGGAAAAGGTCATGGAAAGAGTGATATAGACGGAAAAAAGGGAAACGGTAATGGAAAAAGAGATAGCGAAGGAAAAAGGGGAAGAGTTAATGGAAAGAATAATAGAGAAGGAAAAAAGGGAAAATGTAATGGAAAGAGAGATAGAGAAAAAAAATGGAAAAAGGTAATGGAAAAAAAGAGACAGAAAAAAAAAGGGAAAAGGTCATGGAAAGAGTGATATAGACGGAAAAAAGGGAAACGGTAATGGAAAAAGATATAGCGAAGGAAAAAGGGGAAAAGTTAATGGAAAGAATAATAGAGAAGGAAAAAAGGGAAAATGTAATGGAAAGAGTTCTGAGTAGAATGTAGGCTTGATTCCTTTCAGAGGACACATGTTTTCTATGAAATTTCTTGGACACTCAGGCCATAGATGTAGTTAATACTGTTTATTATAAGCAGAGCATTTACTTAAATATTTGTATCTATAATGATAATGTATAAACAGAATATATATATATATATATATATATATATATATATATATATATATATATATAATATAAAAGGCTCAAACACTAGTATTCCATGGTTATAATTTATTACATTGGAAACATAATCACAATCCAATTTATCAGACCTTTTGAATTTGTAGGTCTGATGAAATGAATCGTGATTATGATTCCAATGTAATAAATTATAACCATGGAATATTAGTGTTTGAGTCTTTTATATTATATTCTTGTTTCTGTCTTGGACATTGAGCTCTACCTAGATTCTATCCTCTTGGAAATTTATGTATATATATATATATTGACCACTAATATTATATATATATATATATATATATATTGACTAATATTATATATATATATATATATATATATATATATTATATATATATATATATATATATATATATATATATATATATATATATATATATATATATATATATATATATATATATATATATATAATTATTATATATTCCATATGAAAATTCCAAAAGAGATATAAATCCAGAGAGATCAATGTCAAAACAAAGCAAATAATCCTTGTCCATTTATATTTGTGTGTAAGAGTTTGTCTGATGAGTTGAGATCGAATCTTTTATTGTGATGCAATAAATATCACCATGGTCTTTTAAGCATTCATTTTCATTTATAATTATATATGTATATATATATATATATTTATGTTTGTATATATATATATATATATTGGGTAGCAAATTTCTTTTAAATATTTTTCATCAAATACAGCTGACAAGGAATTTTTTCCAGCATCCTTATTTTTTCCATTTCGTAGAAGTCAGGGTGTGCAGAAATTTTCCATAATTTTTATTATTCGAAGCACTTCTTTAGCCATTTTCAAAGGGGTTGGTTTTTGACGTAGTTAGTTTAATTTCATGTTCTGACTGTTTAAGTTGTATTTATATATTAAGCTAAAAATATATATATATATATATATATATATATATATATATATATATATATATATATATGTATCAAATCCAATCAAAAATGTCTGTCTTTTTAATTTTTATCATATTTTCCTAACTTTAGAGTAAATTGTTGCACATGTCATTAAATTGTACAGATATGACTTGTAATGTTTCCCAAATGCCAAGATGTAGCTAACAAAACTTTTCTGCAATATTGACAAGTACGTTATTCATCAATGTACCGTGTCCATTCAGGACGTGGGTGATGATGCCTCTCCCTAATTTTCTGTCCTTTGTAGCTTTTAGTAAATTTGTTCCATCTGTTGTCTCTCCTAAACTCTGTTCTGCTAGCCATTCACACTATCTCATTCTTCTTCTGTGCCAAGTCCCTTCAGAAAATTGGTGATCATGACTCTCTACAATTTACTCATAGCCTTGTGGCAGACCTGGTTTAGCCAATTATATAATCTGGGCACTGAAAAATAAATGCATCTCTGACCTCTTGGAAATTTGTTATTTTTTTTTTACTTTTCCTACTGAATCAAACTAGAATTTCCAATAATATTGGACCGGCTTGCAGAAAAATAAATGCCCAGTTTTGAGAAAAATTAAGTTTTTAAATTGTTTACAAAAATTTTGGTAATTATTTTAAAAGAATATTATAAGTAATCCAGAAAAATGTCTGGCAGGTGTGAAAACACACAAAATATTTTTTTCTAACCGGAAATTAATAGCAATGAAAAATAGATAGATAGATAGGTAGATAGAAAGAGTGATATATTTTATATAATTATTTTTCTTTATCATTCCGACCAAGCTGACATAAGCAGACTTGCGAAATACCTTCCAGGCAAGTGCGGATTAAATATTTATATACTTCAAGAAGATCTAGTATTGGAAAAATCACGTCTTCAATGTGTCAAAAATGGTTAGAATGAATCTTTGAAGATAAGAGTTGTTCTGTTTTGGGAGAAATGCCAGTGAGATGGATGTTTCCAATAACAAGTTGTTGGCTTCCTCCATTTGGTGAGGCACATCATACAAGCAAGTAAGAGAGGTGATATGAAAGAACAAGTGAATATATTGTATAGATATCGAAGAATGTTGTCCATAACAGGCTTTCAGAAAGAAATAAGGCTTAAGCCCATAATTAAATCAAAGTTCCGCTAAAAATATATAAAAATTCACAAAATATGTAATAGGAATTATCATCAGTTGAAATGGAGGTCAGAGAAAATGGTGTTGGCGTTAAGTGTTAGGATATATCAAAAGTATTTTCGATTCTTGATCAACACTTAACTCTTTGCGACTGCTCGGTCTCATATTGTCTGCTGACCTGAGATGGAACAAATACTTTGATTTAATAGCTTTGTCCACCGCTAGGAAAGTTGGCTCCCTACGCTGCGCCAGAAAATTTTTCTCGCCGGAGTCGATCCTTCAAATCTACAAATCAACCATTCGCCCTTACATGGAGTATTGCTGCCATATATGGTCTGGAGCCCCTTCTAATTGTCTCAAGGTCCTTGATAAAATCCAAAGACGGATATGCAATGTAATCGACCCTGATCTGGCATCTCGTCTGCAGCCGCTCTCTCACAGATGTGCCATTGCTTCCCTCTGTCTTTTTTACAAATACTTTCACGGTAACTGCTCCGATGAGCTGCTTTCGCTGGTTCCCAGACTTCATGAATTTAAGCGTTCTACAAGGCTGGCATCTCGCTCTCACAAAAGGTGAGAGCGAGATGCCAGCCTTGTCGAAACTGTTAAATGTAGCCGTCTCTTCTACTCCAATAGCTTCATGTCTGGCACTTCTTGCACTTCTCGCCTGTGGAACTCCCTCCCCATTTCTTGTTTTCCTGATAACTAAAATCTCCAACCATTCAAATGTAACGTCAATCGACGTCTCCAGATGCACTGATCTATCCCCTAACTGTCTCTTTATCCATTCCTCTATCACTCCTCTTTGTTCTCGCTCCTACTTTGGAACCCTTTGCGTGCTGGTGGATTCTTGCCTTGCTTGGAGTTGAATGCTTAAAAAAAGAACTTCCTTTATGATCTAAGCCACTCAAAACTATTTGGGGGGGGGTATGGCAGATGTTTAGACTAGCTACAATCTATCAATCTAGTGGTTCCTAACCATTTTTTTTTACCCAGGAACCACATTTACTCTTCATTTTTTTTGAAGGAGCCCCATAAACATTCAATAAAAAAAAAAGCTTATATTATTTTTACTGTAGTGTCGGAAACCTACCACCCCTCTTGAAGATGAACTTGTCTGCGTCTGTGAACAAAGACTTTAAATAGTGGCATGTCAGTTGACAGGAAAGACAGATAGACAGAGAAGTTCTTAGCTGACTTCCGACGTCTGTCGAACTCTCTGCGTTAGCAGAGAGGAACCCGGACGAAGCTTTGCCGAAGGGCAAGGTTTCGCAAAGGGGGAGGTAGTGGGAGAGGCCTGAACCCGTCTAGGCGGGTTCAAGGGCTATATTTTTGGCTGAGCCTACGGGCTCGGATCAACCCACATTAAACTCGGCCTTGTGCCATATTCAATCCTCGTGGGGGGATCGATAAATACTCAGATAGACAGAGAAGTTCTTAGCTGAGCTAGTTATTGACTACTCGGGCGATTTCTGTACCTTTTTACCAACCTATTACAACCATTTTTATTGTTACATGTTATTTGGCGTTTGTCTCTAGTAACCCCAAATCAACATCATAACATTTACTTATAAATAAGCACATGAATTTTATTATAGAAATAGTAAATGTATATGCTTCCTTTATATATAATCCTTATATAATTTATATATTAAATTAAGTTTATTATTAATATTTTTTTAATATTTTATACTAATTAATTTTTATTAATATTAAATATTTTATTAATATTTAAAATTAATATTATCATTTATTATTAATAAATTAAATTAATCTAAATGATAAATTATAATTTTCCTTTATATATCGTTCTCAGTTTTTACTCAGTTTTTAAAAATAAAACATTCAGTAGGGTAAAAAGGAAGCTTACGTTGCTTGATCGCGTTTTCTGCTAGTTTCAGAATTGTTTTTTTTATTTTTAGTATTTTAATATGGCGTAGATTACTGTAGAAATTCCAACCCTTAGTTGTAAAAACAGTTCCAAAGTAAAATTACTCTATGGACCACTAAAATATCTTTGTTGATGTTTAATTTGCTCTTTTTTTTGTGTGAATATTACATGGACCCTGGTTGATAATAACTGGTCAGGACCTTCATAGCTAAGACTCACCATGCTACAGAGTTGACCCATCCTCATTCTCTTTGAATTCCATTGGTGAGGAAGAATTTCCACAGACAGCTTCCTCCTAAGAACTTACTTTTCAAAACAGACTCCTGAAAGGATGTTTTCCCAGATCACTATGATTTTAGCCACTTCAGGTTAGGCCAGTACTGTCAGATATTGTTTCATTTCTTTTTAGCCTTATGGCCATATCATATTGAAACACCAGTTCCTGTATGATCACCGAAGTTAAGACAACATCGAGCTGGGTCAGTATAGAGATGGGTGATCGCTTGCGAAAATGAGGTTCTGTAAGCTTAGATGTGCAGGTGATTGAATGGATAATAGCTCTGAATCTTTAATCAGATGACCGGGTTCCAATTTCTCTTGGTTGCGTTATACATGCACAAATACCTTTGGGAATGGTATGAATCCACCTCTTCTCAATCAAAGAGCCGAGTTCCAATTTACTTTGAGTTTGTTATGTTAACTTAGGTGCAAATCACCTTGTGAAAGGTCTCAAATCCACTTCTTCTCCCACAGCTATGGGTTAATTAGTAAGACTTGTATCACTAAACCATTATCATCTTAAAAGGATTCTTAAAATCTAGACATATTTTCTAGCTTTAAATAAACAGTAATGGGTTGGTAAGCCATAGAAAATTAGTCAATTTATTTCCTTTACACAAAAGGGCACATGGCCGAGTCTCCAGACCATGAACCTTCTGACTAAGAGAATTGGATTTGAATCTGACTATAACCGATTTTATGAAGGATTTGACTCTTGATAATATGAGATTGGGGAGAGAATTTTAGTGAGTGGCACCATATAGTGAACGGCTTGTAAACCATGCCACAGGTTAAACCAAACCTTGTGAGTGAAATTCAGTAAATCGAACTGTTTGGAAAGTGTTGAAGGTGTGGCTATATGATTAGTTATAACAGAAATCAAGCATTTGTAAGTGAATCATTTTTTCCTTGTTAAATGACCCATAATGGTGTAGATATGTCATTAAACAAACCAAACAAATCTTTCTATATTGGACATCTGTATCTGTTTATTCATATACTAGCACATAGACTTAGATTACCTATCACCATATCAACTTTCTTTTTTCCTCTCCCTTTATATCAACACTACTCTATCCATGTTTATTTCTGACAAACAAGGTCATGATTTTTTTTTTCTAAACATAATTAATTAGTTACTTTGGAACTTATTATTTATCTTTATGATATAACAACTAAAATATTAAGTCATAATTAATTTTAATAAGAATTTTACATCTTTATCTTCTGGTCTTTTCCCAATGTCAGTTCTATTTTGTTTTTTTGACTCATTTTGACATCTTTCTTGTTTTATCATGACATTTTGAATGCTGCTTCTTCTGTTGTAATATTCAAAGTTTAATAATTCAGATATCTGGCATGTAAAAATATTAAAGGTGTGTGAAGTAGCCACACAGAATGAGTATCAACTTAAGGAGTACGCTCCAGGTAAAGGATGTCAAAAACAAAAGGCTAAAATAAGTTTAAAATTTTACAAGTATAAAAAAACATTTTGCAAGGTATAAATCAGATTTTTCAGTTACTAATGTTTTAAGTGAATGAAAAAAAAAAACATTCCGGTCCATATCCACCTAAAATCAGAAAAATATGAAATTTTGCAACAGGTTATAGTCAGTAAAGTAAAACTGCATGCTCTTCTCCATCTATGCTAATTGACTCCCTTCCACAGTAGAAGAAGAGAAGCATCTACAGACAAAAAGATTCATTAACAAAAACTAGATAAGTTGTAGAGGTCCATTATTGCCCACAGGACATGACACATCAAAGAAGAAAAGTCTACTGACCTTCCTCAGAAGAGTTTTATTTTGAAGCATCAAGCTTTCACTGGGTAGTGTCATTTGAGATTTTTTTTAAAATTCAGAATTGGTTTTCTCAAAGATGTTGAGTCAACAAGTCTAAAGGAGACAGTCTGCCCTATGATTTTACTTGTAGCTGGAGAGAGTAGATTAGGTTTCATGCCTTTCCTAAAGCCTTTAGTGAATGCAACAGGTAGAATTTGAACAAGTTTTAGCGATAATCTTTGCAGCAACTGCATATCCCTTTATTCTTATCAATAAAGAAACAAATCCATCCCATTTCTTTATATATATATATATATATATATATATATATATATATATATATATATATATAGACATTTTTATGTTTATACATTCTTTTTTTAGATACAAATATTTAAGTAAATGCTCTGTTTTATAACATTTACCGGCCTGAATGTCCGAGAAATTTTTCATAGAAAATATTCGTCAGGCCGATAAATGCTAAAACTGTTTATTATAAAACAGTGAATTTACTTAAATATTTGTATCTATAAAAAGAATGTATAAACATAAAAATGTCTTAAAATAATTACGGACTTTGTCTATTTCTTAATATATATATATATATATATATATATATATATATATTTCTGAGATGAGGCATTATGTACACAAGTTTCAATATTCGGACTATTGTCCTCATCTTTGTCGCCATGTTTATCACAACGTTTCGGCCGTTGTACGCTCCGGCCTTCTACGGGTGGTTGAAATGCCGAACTGAACCCTCGAGTACACATAGCACAGTGCATAAAGGCTTTAGTTAGATCCAGTGACAGGTCCCAAAGTGTGTGAGTTTAATACCTGGTTAAGGTCGTGGAGAACTTTCAGAGGGAAATTAACAGGAGGTAACTGATAACTGACATCCATTAAACATGGCACGTGGAACTAGAACAGTCTACCACAGTGAGCGAAATAAATGGTTCAGTTCGACATTCCAACCACCTGAAGAAGGCCGGAGCGTAAAACCTCCGAAACATTGTAATAAATATGGAGGCAAAGATGAGGACAATAGTCCGAATAATGTAAATAGTGTGTGTGTGTGTATATATATATATATATATATATATATATATTCCTGCATCATTTTCACTACTCAGAGTTTCATGTCAAACGCAATATTCAGGTGCTAAATATGTATTAACTATTACTTAAAATTTGAAAATATATTCGTTTAACATAATGATGATGCAGTTAAGTTTAATTTATTTTCAAATATATTTTTAAAACCTTTTTTTTAAATTATATTTCTCATGCTATTAAATTCAGCAACTGATACAACTAGCCTTGCCATAATGGCTAAGTATATATCATGGATTATTAATTTTAATTATTAATTTTATTTAAGGTCAGTTATCAGCTGTTGATTAATAAATAATTAATATACTGGAAGGGAGTTAACTTAATCTAATTTATTAAGATTTAATATAATTTAATATAAAATAATAACAATATTAAAGGAAAAATACTAAAGAAAAAAATAAGTGACAATACTGCAGAAAAACAATGGAATAAAAATATAAAATATTTTATAAATAAAAAGTATAATAAATAAAAGATAAAAACAAATGTCTTGAGTTCTCCGGTCACTGGCGTGTTTGTCTAAAAATAATTACGTCTAAAATTCAGGCTTAGGGGTAAAATCTCCGACTGATACCACATCAGTCGGGTTTCAATCCTGGCTTGAGGCAATCAGATGTCTAGCCACATTGATAAGCTGTGAAACAGTCTATCTGTGGATGACAATATCTATATAAATATATATATATATATGTATAAAATAAAACATATATATTAGAAAAGCCAATAAATAATAACCCATAAGAAATAGTAATCAAATAGTAAATGAATCAATAAGTTAATAAGCAAATAATATATATTAAGCACCCCCTTAAAAAAAAACATGGCGAGAATGACCCGTTTAAGTAGGCATTTGGTTTTAGGTCGACGTGTAACAATCAGTTCACTTCTTGTATTCAATAAACCCGGGTTATTTAAATGTAGCAAGATGATTACTTTTACAACTAAACATTGGTTACATTTATTTTCCCTACCATTAAACGGTTTAGCCCTTGCCTTTACATTCCATTTAATTAAAGGGGAGTTACTGGAATCTTTCAATTGCCAGAAATAATTAGAGATTGCAGTGATATTTCTGTATTTAATCTTAGTCAAAGTCTTACAGTGGTGGTAGAAGCGAAACTTCCTAAGATTTTCAGTGGAACAAAAATAAAATTTAACATTGTTACTGGAACGAATGCGTGCATGATAAACAACACCATCGGTCATACATTAACCATTTAATGGACAGATCGTTTTTTTTCAGAAGTTGCATTTATTTTTGGAAAAATTTATGTTGTTATTGTTGGAAAGATGTTTATTTAATATTATTTTTGTTAAAAATCGTTTTTTAATGCTGGTGAATGGCTGAAATGCTTATGTATTAACTTCAGGAAAATTTTTCCGACATTAGTTTGGACATGAGGACTAAAAGGTGTGTTAAATCATATGATGTTGGGTTTATGGTGTTTTCATTTTGTCTTATTATCTTTGTTTTTTTCCCAATAATCTACGTTTGCCTTGTGGTTGTTAAGTTCCAAGGCCTTAAGGCATTTATCTTTAACATTATTAAATATTTCTTTGTTGCTGAAATTGGTGGATAATCTAATTTGTAGTTTGTAACAGACCTTGGGTTTACATGTTGTTAAATTAGGAACACGTGCGTTTATTTCCGCTAGAGGAAGGTCCACCACAAGAACGTGGCAGACTCAGAGATTGAATCCACCATAAAGAAGTGTAAAGAAAACCAACAAGACCGATATATATATATATATATATATATATATATATATATATATATATATATATATATATATATATCAACAAATACATGTATTAAACAACAAAATTTACAATAGATATTAACATTTGTGTTTGTGTATGAACGTAAAGAGTTGGTATTTTTGTGATTGTTCGTAAGTAAGTTTATATGTGTATAATGTTCATGGCATCTCCCACAAATAGGATGACACAATCTTCTGCGAGAGTTTACATTGTAGATGTGTTCGCTGAAAATGAAGAAATGAAAAAGAGCACGAGGCAAGAAATCGCCCAGTATTTATAGTGTATGGAGAGCGTACCCTAGTGAACAATTTGGACAATTAAGGAGGAGTTAACTCCGACAATTTCTTTCGTGTATGGTTTATGGTAACCATTATCCAGGTTTAATGTTACATCTAGAAAATTAATCACTTTAATCAATGGTGGTGGGGATAATGATTAGATCATGACCCTTAAAAAATGTATAAGTTCTTTTCTCAAATTAATAATTCATAATATATGTTTACCCTTTATGATAAGACTGGATGTATCAGTTGCTGGATTTAATACCATGAGAAATATAATAAAACAAAAAGTTTTTATGTTTTT